GTACTGGAATAATTCTTTCAATAAATTGTTTCTTTAAGACCAGTGATTGCTCATTAAAATCATTTATTTCAGAGCAGTTGCGACGTATTCTTAAAAATTGGCTTTTGGGAGCGCTTTCAAGCCATGGTTTATAGTGGCAACTAGTTAGGTCAAATGCAGTGTTGGTACATACTTTCTTGAAAAATGTTTTTGTATGTATTTTGCCATCTTTAATGAAAATATTTCAATCTAAAAAATTTATTGAATTTGTACTATATTCACAGGTCAGAATGATACCTCTTCTATTAGAATTGAGATGTGATATAAAGGAATTTAGACAGTCTTCAGAACCCTTCCATATAAAAAACAAATCATCGATGTATCTAAAATAGGAGACCAGATTATGCTCCCAGGCATGCCGTCCCCAAATGGCGGTTGTTTCCCAATCCGCCATGAAGAGATTGGCATAGCTAGGAGCAAACCTGGTCCCCATAGCTGTCCCTCTTTTCTGGAGGTAAAAAGAATCATAAAACCAAAAATAATTGTTGTTTAAAATAATATTAATACCATCTACAATAAAATCAATCTGGGCAGCTGGGATTATGTTTTCATTAGATAAAATAGTTCGAACTGCATTACATCCAAGTTGGTGGGGGATGATAGTGTACAGGGACGTGACATCACAAGAAACAAGTATGAAATCTGACTTCCACTCAAATCCATTTAAAAATCTTAGTAATGACATAGAGTCCTTCAAATAGGACCTCATTAATTTGACTGACGGTTGAAGTAGAATGTCAATATACTGAGATAAATTGCATAAGGGAGAGTTTATTCCAGATACTATAGGTCTTCCTGGAGGGTATTTAGCATCTTTATGTATTTTGGGTAGGAAGTAGATGACCGGAATTTTGGGGTTCTTAATCAATAGGTAGTCATATTCTTTTTTATTCAGAATATTGTCATTTAGACCTTTTTGTAAAAAAGTAGTTAGTTTCAGTTGTATATTAGAGGTAGGATCTTTCGTTAATTTTTCATATACATTAATGTCATTCAATTGTTTATAGGCTTCTTTGATGTACATGTCAGTTGATTGGATTACAAGCCCCCCACCCTTATCTGCCGGTTTAATTACTATTTCTTTGTCCTCTTGAAGTTGTTTGATAGCTGTTTTTTCTGATAGGCTTAAATTTTGGGGATCATATTTGTTAAATTTAATTTTGTTAAGATCTCTTAAAACAGATTTTTCAAACATTACCAATGGAGCTGATTTAAAATGGTATGGATAAAATGTAGATTTAGATTTTAGATTAGTATTAATAAAAGTAGATTGTTCAGTGAGTATAGGGAGATTGGAAAGGGGAGGATTAGTGTCTGAAGTTTGTGCATTAAAAAATCTTTTTAGCGTAGCCTTGCGTACAAACTTATTTACATCTAGGAATGCCTCGAACGGTTTAAAAGAATTAGTTGGTGCATATTTTAGTCCTTTACTTAAAACAGAAATCTGTGCTGCACTTAAGATTTTATTGGATAAGTTAAAAATGCCAACATCTGATTCTTTTGGAGTATTTATTGTCTTTCTAGTCTCTCTTTTTTGCTCTCTTCTACCGCTCCGTTTGCCTCTGGGCTTAGAGTTCTTTTTTTTGCTCTTGTAGGGTATGGTGTATTGATGAAAGTGTTGGGGTGTGTCTGAATCTCTAAAAAATGGTCATCATTCTCTATTTCAGAATCAATAGACAGTAATTGATATCTATTCGTATGAGTGATAGGGGATTCAGAATGGTTTTTGTAAAAAGTATTGGAACGATGTGTTTTGGGTGAATGTGGATTAGTGTCAGGACTGCGTGCATTGTAACAGCGATTAGAAGAATCTTGATAGTTGGATGTGTTGTATTGGGTCTTCCGTGATACATATGATGATGGACGGTGATAAGATGGGGGAACATAGTGAGAGTTTGGATTTTTATAGTGAGGTTTAGGTCTGTACGGGGAGTGATGAAAGGGTTTGTGGGAAATGGAAGAGTGATTTTTGTTGGCATATGAGGATTCGTGCCGTGCATTGTGTGTAGTGGCTCTTTGGTATTGATGAGATTCTGTTCTAGTATTAACATGTGAATTGTCAGCCATATATCTTTTGTTTAGATGATATGTTCTGACCCGTCGATTAGCATAATCTTGCTTGTCTCTGATATACTTTTTAACTTTAATGTGCTTGGTGTCTGTTTCTATTTTTTCAATTTTACTTTGAATTAAAACTGAATTTTGTTGATATACATTGCTTTCTGTAAAGGGCATAAGTTTTTCTCTGAGATCATTAATTTCCCTATCCAGATTAGATAGTTTTTTACTTTTTTTCTTAATTAGCGTATCCATAAGACCAAATGTACAGGTTTCTAATTTATTATTCCATTCATTCATAAATTCAATATCATCTTGGTCTGAAGTGGGTAGTTTTATAAGTCTCAGGCCTGGAGGTGTTATACGTTAATCTATGTATTTTTTAAAAGTAGCGATTTCCCATTTTAGTTTAATTTCTGTTGTTAAGGCTTTTTCTAACTTGGTAAACAATTCTTGCTGGGTAAATATAGGAGGCCTGACATATATAGGACTAATAGTTTGATTAGAAAAAACGTTATCAATATCAATAGAGTAATTGCTTCTATACTCAAAAATAGACATATTAAAAGCAGCTAAAACCAGAGGGATATAAATAAGGTGCACAAAAAAAGTAAAAACGGTTAGCGCTAATAATAAAAACAGATAAAATAAGAGGCAGCAGCCTTATAGGGGGTCACCCTCTAACCCTCTACAATAAGAGTATACAAGAAAACAGAGAAAAAAGGCTGCGCCAAGAGGGATAAATAAAAAAAAAAAAAAAATTTCAGTCCAAAATAAAAAATGTTCTGTAAGAGAGTTCCAGTTTTTGGTGGTATCTCAACTTGAGATGATCCCCAAAATTTAAGCCTATCAGAAAAAACAGCTATCAAACAACTTCAAGAGGACAAAGAAATAGTAATTAAACCGGCAGATAAGGGTGGGGGGCTTGTAATCCAATCAACTGACATGTACATCAAAGAAGCCTATAAACAATTGAATGACATTAATGTATATGAAAAATTAACGAAAGATCCTACCTCTAATATACAACTGAAACTAACTACTTTTTTACAAAAAGGTCTAAATGACAATATTCTGAATAAAAAAGAATATGACTACCTATTGATTAAGAACCCCAAAATTCCGGTCATCTACTTCCTACCCAAAATACATAAAGATGCTAAATACCCTCCAGGAAGACCTATAGTATCTGGAATAAACTCTCCCTTATGCAATTTATCTCAGTATATTGACATTCTACTTCAACCGTCAGTCAAATTAATGAGGTCCTATTTGAAGGACTCTATGTCATTACTAAGATTTTTAAATGGATTTGAGTGGAAGTCAGATTTCATACTTGTTTCTTGTGATGTCACGTCCCTGTACACTATCATCCCCCACCAACTTGGATGTAATGCAGTTCGAACTATTTTATCTAATGAAAACATAATCCCAGCTGCCCAGATTGATTTTATTGTAGATGGTATTAATATTATTTTAAACAACAATTATTTTTGGTTTTATGATTCTTTTTACCTCCAGAAAAGAGGGACAGCTATGGGGACCAGGTTTGCTCCTAGCTATGCCAATCTCTTCATGGCGGATTGGGAAACAACCGCCATTTGGGGACGGCATGCCTGGGAGCATAATCTGGTCTCCTATTTTAGATACATCGATGATTTGTTTTTTATATGGAAGGGTTCTGAAGACTGTCTAAATTCCTTTATATCACATCTCAATTCTAATAGAAGAGGTATCATTCTGACCTGTGAATATAGTACAAATTCAATAAATTTTTTAGATTGAAATATTTTCATTAAAGATGGCAAAATACATACAAAAACATTTTTCAAGAAAGTATGTACCAACACTGCATTTGACCTAACTAGTTGCCACTATAAACCATGGCTTGAAAGCGCTCCCAAAAGCCAATTTTTAAGAATACGTCGCAACTGCTCTGAAATAAATGATTTTAATGAGCAATCACTGGTCTTAAAGAAACAATTTATTGAAAGAATTATTCCAGTACTCTTCTTGATAATACTATAGATACAGTTAGAAACAAACCTAGAGAAAGTCTTTTAATGTACAAGAATAAAAATACTTTAGAAACCCCCACTCTCCCTATAATTTTTAACTATAACAATAAAAGTGGTTTTATCAAAAAAACAATCAGAAAACATTGACACCTCCTAAGACATGATGATCTACTCAAAGAAATTTTACCTATACAACCGAAATTTTTTTTAGAGGGGCACCTAATTTTAGATCCATTTTAACTGAGAATTATACCAAAGAAATCAAAAATCCCCATCATACTTTCTTAGATGGGGCGAAAGGCTTTTATAAATGTAAACGCTGCACTGTATGTAAAAACACCGATCCAACAACTAAATCTAAAATTACTAGTTTTAAATCCAACCAAACTGATAAAAGTTATACCATAAGAGACTTTATTGGTTGTAACACTACCAATGTTATCTACCTATTGGAGTGCCCTTGTGGCCTCCAATATGTAGGTATGACAACTAGAAGCTTAAAGATAAGACTAGCAGAACATTGTAGGAATATAAGAAATGGGTATCTAAACCATTCTGTATCTAAGCACTTTATTAACCACAATCAAGATCCTAAACTTCTCAAATGTTTAGGTATCCAGAAATGCGTAATACCTTGGAGAGGCGGCAATATAAAAAATATTCTCGGTAGATCAGAGATGGAATGGGTATTTAATTTACAAACCTTAACACCACAAGGTCTAAATGTAGATTTTGATTTATTTAACTTTTTATAACTGCATTGCCTATCATTTTAAAAATTATTATTTATTTATTTTAATTTTTTTAAATTTATTTATTTATTTATTTTTCTCCTCTGGATTTTACTCATTTATTTGTCTTTTATTACTGGTATTATTTCCACAGATCTAGTACTGTTTGTTTTTATCTGATTTTATTTACTTACTTATGTTATCATTATTTATTTTGATATACACATGTATACATAATTTGTTTATTCTTTCTGTGGGTATTCATAAGGTAGATCTTTTTAATATAGACCCCATTTTTAACTTTATTTACTTTTTCCCAAGTCCCACATTCTCTTTATTTCTAAACTATAACACTATTTCATGTATTTTTCCATTTAAATTATATTTCTTTTGCCAATGAGTCTATGCACTACATTTCCCATCACCCATGCGGTTCTGGTCACGTGACCCGCGGGTATTGGTGCTGTGTGATGCCGCGGGTCACGTGACACAGCTCGATCCCGCCCTGCCGTCCGTGCGTGCCGCTCTGTTCTACACTGGCCGCACGGACTGTATACACATCAATAAAATACATGCGGTCACGTGGCCCGGCGCACTACAGATCCCAGAGTGCATCGCGGGTCACGTGACACGCACGGATATTGTATTTTAACTTGCTTTTGTTTTATATTAAAAAACCCTCGTTTTTAATTGATATTTATATATATACCATCCTATGTTTTAATATAACAATACTGTATATTATTTCTTATTTCTGTTTATGTATTCTTCATTTACATTTTGTTCAGTTTTGATTGGTGATCGTTTTTTTGGCGCCAATTTTTGAATGTATGTTAAAGCTATATATACTCTTTATGTGCCAGGTACTAACACTATTCCAATTTGATAAAGCCTCTACGGCGAAACGCGTTATTGGTTTTAATATATTGTATTGATAAATTATTTTATATATATTACCTTTTTATACTATTTTATCCTTATCCACTGTTCCTGGCATATCCTAAGGTGGGGATCATACCACCCACGCGATATATAGAGTGCAGAAAAGCCTGCACTCTACTTGTGAGTATATTTTATTCATTTTATATTTTTTATACTAACCACCTCACCAGAGAGCACTATTGGCTGTTTTTATCTCTTTTCCTGAGAATTGGACATCAGCACTCCCCAGGAGGACAAGTACCCCCATAAGCGGAGGGCAATCTGCTGTATGCCCATCACACTTGAGCTGGTCCTAGCTCATGGACATGTGAGTGTGTAATTTATATTTTAACTTCACCATTTCTTATTTATACACTCTGCACGATTAGCTCTTTCCCATTGTGTCTTTCATATCGTGAGATGGACAACTGTTAACAAAGAAGATACCACATCAAGTTGAGATACCACCAAAAACTGGAACTCTCTTACAGAACATTTTTTATTTTGGACTGAAATTTTATTTATTTATTTATTTATTTTTAATTTTATTTATCCCTCTTGGCGCAGCCTTTTTTCTCTGTTTTCTTGTATTTTCTTGAGTGAGTTGAAAGTTATTTTGGATGAAATTTTGGGAATGGGATTAACTATATGAGATGAATATAATCTCATGTACTATAGGTTATGTTTATCAAATATCCATGGTCATGTAAAGTCTCCTTGGTCATTTTAGTGGATCTTTGATAAACATTTTATTGCTTATCAAAGATCCACTAAAATGACCAAGGAGACCTATAGTCTCAATCAGGATTAACCTTACCCATAATGTAAATGATTATATGGATCAGGTGTTGAAAAGATTTGTTGAAACTTTATCCTCACATTTATGAGTTCCATGAGGTTATATCTTATGCGGTATGGATGTGGAGTCCTTATATAGCTTGATATCTCATGATATAGGTATGACACATACTGGTGGTGTTTTCTTAAAAATAGAAGTCTAGATTTTGATCAACATACATTTGTTTCCTGAGATTGTTGATTTCATCCTCTGAAAGAATTTCTTTTTTAATATTAAAATTTACCAACAGAATAAAGGAACTACAATGGGCACATCTTGTGCCCCATCCTACACCAACTTACATTTAGGTTGGTGGGAGGAACATATTGTGATTTCTGAGCACTACCATCAACTGGATGGGAAGTGACGGAGCAGCTTTCCTAAACTGATCAGTACGAGAGAGAAAAATCTGCAGTAGATGAGCTGTGAATTAATATTTTCTATAGATTGAAGATAAGTCAAATACTTTTTAAGATGCCAAAATTAAGGTTTCAGCAATCAGTACATGAGAAAATGAAAATGGCTAAATTCAACCAATATTTTGAGGAGATGCCCCTCAGAACCAGGTGAAAGATTATATGTAACAACATAAAGAGAGGCCTAAGTTATATAGTTAACTAGGCTGAAATGAAACATTTGCCCATCAAGCTAGGGGTGAATCCAAAACCTAATCTCAGGAGGGGGCACTGGTAGATTTTTTTTTTTTTAAAGGAACAATACAGTCACAATAACCTCTACCGCCCTCTGTAGTAGTTATGGTGCCAGAAGTGCTGTGGTGCCCTTCCAGAGTAAGTAGTCAAACTATTTAAGAACATTTTACAACTACCTGTGATAGGGCCTGAAGTAGGGGATAGGGGCAGTAGTGGGGGGTTAGGAGCTGTAGTTTAGTGAGGGGTACAATGTGTACATTTAAGGGATGCAGTGTATGTGTGTTAGGGGTGCAATGTGTGTGTGAGGGATGCAGTGTGTGTGTGTGAGGGACGCAGTGTGTGTGTGTGTGTGTGTGGTGTGCAGTGTGTGTGAGGGATGAGTGTGTGATTGTGAGGAGTGTAGTATGCTATTGTGAGGGGTGCAGTGTGTGTGTGTGAATGAGTGCAGTGTGTGTAGGGTGCAATGTGTGTGTGTGATTGTGAGTGGTGCAGTGTGTGTGTGATTGTGAGTGTTGCAGTGTGTGTTAGGTGCAGTGTGTGTGATTGTGAGGGGTACAGTGTCTGTGATTGTGAGTGGTGAAGTTTGTGTTTGGTGCAATGTGTGTTTGGTGCAGTGTATGTGATTGTGAGGGTTATAGTGTGTGGGGGTGCAGTGTGTGTGATTGTGAGGGGTTGCAATGTGTGTGATTGTGAAGGGTACCATCTGTGATTGTGAGGGGTGCAATGTGTATGTGAGGGGTGTAGTGTGTGTAAGGTGTAGTGTGTGAGTTGGAGGGGTGCAGTGTGTGTGATTGTGAGGGGTTCAATGTGTGTGATGGTTGTAGTGTGTAAGGTACAGTGTGAGTGGGAGGGACACAGTGTGTGTGATTGTGAGTGGTGCAGTGTGTATGATTGTGAGGGTTACAGTGTTTGAGGGTGCAGTGTGTGTGTGTAATTGTGAGGGGTACATTGTGTTTGATTGTGAGGTGCAGTGTGTAGTTGTTGTGAGAGGTGCAGTGTGTGAGGGGTTCAGTGTGTGTATGTGATTGTGAAGGATACCAAGTGTAATTGTGAGGGGTGCCATGTGTAATTGCGAGGAGTGCAGTGTGTGATTGGGAGGGGTGTGGTGTGCGTGATTGTAAGAGTTACAGTGTTTAGGGGGTGCAGTGTGTATGTGATTGTGAGGGTTACAGTGTGTGTGATTGTGAGGGGTACAGCGTGTGTGTGTGATTGTAAGGGTTATAGTGAGTGTGATTGGGAGGGTTACAGTGTGTGTGATTGTGAGGGGTGCAGAATGTGTTATTGTGAGGGGTGCAGGGTGTTATTGTGAGGGGTGCAGTGTGTTATTGTGAGGGGTGCAGTGTGTGTGAGGGAGCAGTGTGTAAGGGGTGCAGTGTGTGTGTGTGTGATTGTGAGGGATGCCGTGTGTGGGGGGTGCAGTGTGTCTGTGATTGTGAGGGGCACAATATGTGTGATTGTGAGGGGTACAGTGTATCTAGTGTGAGAGAGACTTTGCAGGCTAAGATAGGGGTCTGAGATGGGAGCAGCAGCTTTTTAAGTTAATTTCTTAATTTATTTTATTTTAATATTTTTCAAGTGTCCCCCCTCCCTGTTTCTTACTTGCATCCAGGGAGGGAGGACGCATGTTCCCTGGTGGTACGGTGGCACTTAATTCCCTGGTGGTTGTGCTTTAAGTTGTGCTTGCTGTCACGGGTGGAGGTATGGAAACTAGGACCCCTGAGTGCCTGATGATGTTGGGAGTCTCAGCGTGGAAATAGACCATCAGGGCCTGGTGCAGGGTAACCACATGCCCCGTGGTGTTGAGCACCAGCGTTTGTGCAGCCACATACCAGGGCCTTGATGCAGCTACTGCGGATCCCAAGAGCTTGGAGCTTAATATGCAGACCTCCCAGGAACTGGATAGGGGGGCTCTGCAGCAGACATGTATCCAGTACAGAAACAAGGCAAGACTAGGACAGGCACCTGACTAGGAGAACCCAGAACCAGAGCAGGACAGAAAGCAGAACCCAGAACATGTACACAAGACATGAGGAAAACATGAACAGGACAGGACTGTACATGAACTGGGAATACAAGACAAAATAAAACAAGACAAGAGATACAAGGCAAAACAAGAGGAGACATAACTAAGTACTATATATGTAAAACATTGGAGATTTAGACATACATAAATGGCCAAGATGTATGCAGCCCACTAACTGCGTCAAAGTCCTCCAATTAAGGTGGTTCCTATCTACCTAGATAAGCATGACTAAATAAACAATAATAAAACACATACAGCATTTACCTGCAAGAAAAGGGCAGAGGACTTGTAGCAACTGCCTGTAGGAAACAACTGAAGCAAAAGGGTTCATGGAAAAGGAGCAGGTGTGGCAACATAAAACAAACATTTAAAGGAATCCAAGAGACTGGGAATTCCAGGAACGGAATAAAGGAATGAACCCAGAAAACCCAGCATAAAGAAAACCAGACATGGAATAGAAAACCAGAAAAAAAAGAAAAACTAAGAATTATAAAAAGAGTACTGGATACCAGAAGCCAAGGCCAGACAACTCAGCAGAACAGGACAGGATGTGACACTTGCTTAGTTAGGATATAGCAATGTTATTAATTGTATTAGAGTGTCTGGTTTGTTGTTTGTAAAGGGTAGAATTTGATTAGCGGTTACATGTCAGGGTAGAATTTGATTAGAGGTTACATGTCAGAAAGCTTTTGCACAGTTAGGAAAAGACTGTAAAAAGGCAGTTTTTTGAGGTGAGATTTAAGGGTGAGAGTTTAGAAGAGAATAGATAAATCTAATTATGATTTATATTCAGGTGATACTGGAAACTAAAAGATAAATGTTTGACAAAGAGAAGATCACATGGCTGAGGAATAATAAAAAAAAAATCTGCTGTTTAATATACTAAGCCTCATACTTCTTCAAGTAGTGTTTTCTTAATATGAATTGACATTACCTAGCCATTGGTTCTTCTTAGCATATAGAAAACAGTTAATACTTTTGATATCTCATAATTTTCACTTAATTTCAGAAATTGTCAGACCAACATTTTATTGTTGTTTTGCAAGTATTATTAGTAATCTTGGTAGTAGACTCCTGAATTAATTTTTTCGATCGGCAGGTCATCTGAAAACTCTGGAGTTTCATGTGGACTTCTAAACAAACAATCAAACAATGACACATACAATGGACAAGCATATTTGTTTGATTCCTGATCCAGAGTTCTGTCCATGGCACCAAAAAAGAAAAGGGAAAAAAAGGTGATTAATGATTAAGGGACAAGCACTAAATGTTATTTTTTTTCACAGATCAAGTGAGAATTGATCAATAGAGGGAATAAAGAAGGGACAGGAAACATTTATATTTGTATATAGGTAAGCAATATATATGTACAGTATATAAATATAGATTTGTATTACTGCTCAACCTCTTTTTCCCTTTATTGGTGCCTTTCTCACTTGATCTGCACACCAAATGATGGGAAATACACTATTTTGCAGTATACTTAATGGCCCAATTTTGCAGACTTTCTCATGTGAATCCTTTTCCAGAATATTTTGCATAGTCTATAGTGTGAAAATCTAAAATCCCACTTGAATTGGACTAACTTTAATTTTCTGAACAAGTTATTTGATCAAACCAAATGTTCTGCCATGCACAAGTCTAGTTGTTAATCTTATTGGCCACTGTCGCTTTGGGAGTTTTCTAAACTCAAGCATATTGGTGGATTCCAACTTTTCCTCACATTTTTGACACGATGTTAGGGTCATTATTTTACAAGTGCTCCTGAGATAGTGGCTAGAGGCTATACAGTGATTGATATAGTGATTGATATTAACCAATTATTGGATGATATGATATGATAGTATCTAAAATTAGGTTAATCAGTAAGGAAGAGTATTTTTTTTTTGTAAATATATTCTTTATTAGAGTATTAATTGTTTTTCACAATAAGACATCACATAAATTAGACAAAAGACACAATAACAAAGCGTGTATATAGATAAGACATAAAATTCTTATATCGGCGGTGTTTTACAAAGTTAAGAACGTAAAAAGTAGGTACGGACCAATGGTTCAGCGGGAATCAAAAAGCACACTTTTTCAAAGCTTATTCCCTTAGAATTTTATAAAGCGATTCCCAATCCTAAGTCTTGAGATAGTTTATAAAGAGAGTACTATATCTTGATCAGTTGTCCTGGAATGCTGTATACCAGGAATACAAAACAAATTGAAGATGCTATTTAATGAAGGTCTCAATCCAGGGGAGCCACATTTTATCAAAAACTAAGCTTTCACACAATTGACAATAAATGCCACTTTCCATTTTATATTGATATTTAAGTTGTAAAAGGACTTGAGACCAACTTGGGACAATTTGTTGAAACCAATGCCTTGATATGAATACTTTTATGGCCATAAGGAGTTGTATTATTAGATATCTTGTTGTTAATGAAAACCTGGAAATATTGAAATGAAACAGAGCTGTTGTAAAATCAAGATCCCAATCCTCCATAACCAAACAGGAAATTTATTTTATCACCACAGTCCATAGAGGTCTAGTCTGTGAACAATCCCACCAAATATGCTTAGAACTACCCTTTGCACGGTGACATCTCCAATATAACTTTGAATTATTAGAGTTAATTTTATTTGAAGGACCACTGTAGGCACCCAGACCACTTCAGCTCAATGAAGTGGTCTGTGTGCCAGGTCCATCTAGAATTAACCCTTTCTGCTGTAACATGTTTTCCTATGGGTTAATTCAGCCTCTAGTGGCTGTATCATTGACAGCCGCTAGAGGTGCTTCCCACTGTGATTTTCACAGTGAGAAGACGCCAGCATCCATAGGAAAGCATTGAGAATGCTTTTCTATGGCCTGGCTGAATGTGCGCGCGGTATGTGTTTAACCCCTTCCTCACCCTAAAGCCTGGCGGGAGGTGGAGGAGGGAGGTGGGGGGGGACCTAGAGACCCTATAGTGCCAGGAAAATGACTATGTTTTCCTGGCACTATAGTGATCCTCTTTAAGATATTAGGAATCAAATGCCATTGATGCATAATCTTATAGTGGAATTCAATTAATTGATTTTTTCATTTCTCGTATAGATTTAAACCACATATCAGGCTGTGTGATGTATCCAATTTCTTTATCCCAACTTTTCCATGCTCTAGGCTTAACATCCATCTCCTCTCGTAACAATATGCTATTGATCGAAATTTAGTTTCGTTTTAAAATAAATCATTAATTATTTTACTTAATATACTTTTCTCATCTATTATCAAGTGTGATGCCTGATAGTTTTTTAGTCTTAAGCAAGTGAAGTCTCTTTTGGACAGAGGGTAAAATATTGTTGTAATTGTGGGAAAGATTTTATGGTATTTCCATCTAAAATAGCTATTTTTTTGATTGAGGCAGATCTTCACCAATACTTCCACTTAAGAGCTCCAACGTTTTGTTTAATTGTCGTAATTGGACTATATTTAGAGATCTTATCCTGAAATGTATTTTTTTTTTATCGTTCATCCAATTGGAATATAATTCTATTAAATGTGGGGTTCAATTTTCATAACAAAGCTATTCCCAGCTTTGTTATTTAGTCAGATTACGTCAGCAAGATCTTATTTATTACATATAAATGTTTCAATTTTTTACCAGGGATCTTCTCTAGAACTTGGGTCCTGCCATCTCTGCAAATGATATATTCTACTAGCTTTATAGTAGTTTATGATTTTAGGAACCTCGAGACCCCCCCTTATCTGCTCTCTTCATTTTGTGGGAAACTGCAATTCACAGTCTCTTTTGCCCCCAAATATAACTCAGGAGAAGGCTATGTATTTGTTTAATTTTCCATTATGGTATAATTCTAAAAATATATTACCACTTTGGTAAGAGATACGGTTTAATTATATTAATTCTACCTAGCCATGAGATACCTATATGCTTCCATGTATTTAATAATTTATGACTTGTCTCTTTATAAAGCATATAAAAATTTCTGTCCACTACATCGTTCATTTTTGAAGAAATATGGATACCTAAGTATATAAATCCTTGCGGTGTCCATTTAAAGGGGTATTTAGTTGATGAGTACAAGATCATATTGTATTCTAGATTGATTTTCATGATTTGAGATAGTTTATATTTAATTTATAATTTGAAATTAAACTGTATTTTCTTACCTCCAAAAGCAATGCCTCCAAGGATAACTCTGGCTCTGTCACGGTTAAAATGATGTCATCCGCATACATACTAGTTTTATAATTCGAGATTATCTATTTTAACACCTTTAATTTGAGGATTAGATCTTATTTTTTCAGCAAGGGGTTCCAAGGTCAAAATATATAAGAGAGGGGCAAGGGGACATCCCTGCCTAATTCCATTTATTATTGTAAACCAGTTTGCGGAGATGCCAGGACCCACTGCTCTAGCCCTAGATTCAGTATAGATCACCATTATAGCAGTCTTTATTTGACCCCTAAATCCAAATTTGTCGATTCATGAATCCCCAGCTGATCCTGTCAAACGCCTTTTCGGCATCAAGCGACAGGATCAGCTGGGGAGTCTTATCCCTAGTGGCCCAGTCTAATATGTCTATCAACCTGTGAGTGTTATTAATTGATGCCTCCCCCCCCCCAACAAATCCTATTTGATCTTGATGTATAAGGAAGGGTATTATTAACTTTAGTCTATTAGCAATTATTAATGAATATATTTTCATATCAGTATTTATTAATGATTTGGGTCTCTAACTAGCAGGATTTGTTAGGTCTTTATCATTCTTCAATATTGGTGAAATAAAGGCTTGTAAGAGTTATTATGGTGGGGCTCCCTGCTGACCTATCTCTTTAAATAATACCACTAAATGTTCTATTAGATCATTTTTTATTTTCTTAAAAAATACATTTGTATAGCCATCGGAACCTGGGGCCTTGTTCAACTTGAGTTTATTAATTGTATTTTCCACCTCCTGAGCCACAAATGGTAAATTTAATTCCCACAATTGTTCTTCTGTTAGTTCAGGTAACTGAGTTTTTTCAAGGTATTTTACTATTTCTAACTCTCTGGACTCCAATGGGAGATTGTGTAACTTGGAGAAGAATTTATTAAACACTTCTCCAATTGAGATTGGGCGTCTGTGACTATGTCCATCTAATATTATTTGTTCTATTCTGTTTTTTTAATCAATTAATTAGCATTTTATCAGTTCTATTTCCCTTATACCATTTTTGGTTTTATTTATATAAAGCATAATTGACTTTCTGCATTAGGATGGCATTAATTTTATTTGTTATTTCTGAGATTTCTATATTCTTTTCTTTTGTGGGAGAAATTTTATTTAGATTGTTTAAATTATATAATTTGATATGTAGCTGATTTAATGATTGGCCTTGTTTTTTTTTTTTTCTTTTCTGACCCCAGCTTAATAAGGTGTCCTCGAAGGCACACTATACAGCTGAATGTGGTATAGCTTGCGTAAGGTTTTCTTCAAAATATAGATTAATAGTTTTGGATAAGTATTCAGTCTTCTTTGCTAGTTAGCAAACCCTCATTTAATCTGCAGGACGAAATAACTCCATTGTCTTTACGTAGCCCAATATCTAAAATAACAGTTGAGTGGTCTTTCTATGTATTGTCTGAACTGAGGTACAAGCTTGAATATTTTGTTTCAAGTAATCAAATCTCGAATATGACAGGTGGGGTCTAGAATAGAATGTAAAATTATTTTCTTCTGGATGTTTTACCATCCAGATGTCATATAATTCAAAATTAGATATGATATTCTGTAAATCTGATAATAAAGGACTGTACTTGTTACATTTCCTCAAAGTCTTTTTATCTAATTTTGCATTTATCACACGAGTCAAATCTCCACCTATTAGGAAAGTTCCCTGAACCTTATCTTCAAACTTGGTTAGTATTTTATTAATAAATCTTTGAGGGTTTAGATTTGGAGCATATAAGAATAAAAAAAACCTTCCCTTGTAATTCACATTTCAAAAATACATATCTACTCTTCTTATCTTAGGCAATTATTATTGGAAAGTGGTATGTCTTTATTATCAGACTCCCCACTTTCCAATGTGTCTCTTGTATAAATCCCACTGATACTTTATTTATTTTTTCATATAGTCTACCAACAGATGGCATTTATGTGGTGTGTTTAACCTCTTAACATTTAGTGTTGCAAATCTCAGTTTATTATCCATATTCCTGTACTCCAAATATCCATATCTCTTCAATGCTAAACCAGTGGCCGCCCATACCGCCCAACATAAAAACAATTAACAAACAACAAGCCTCATTGGAATTATAAGTCACACAATCTGGAGAGGAACTGGCCACACCACTTCATTATGGACAATACGTCCCCAGATTAGTGTCCTACCCCACCACCCTGGTTGGACACTACTTTGCGCTCAACTTATAAGAGCGAAATAAAAACAGGGTGAACAAATATCATAGTTATAACTGTGACTAGATGGACTGAGACATATTTTTTTTTATAAGATTAGGTATTCTCAAATTAGATTGTATGTTAATCATCCCAAAGTAGCTACCTTGGAGAGAAATTTCATTTATCTAAATTCTTAACAAATAGGAAATAAAATTTGTCAGTTCTAAAGTTATTGTGAGATTTAAACAACTAGTCGTTAATTTAGTTTTCAGTTACTTCAATATAATTGCCTATGGAGGACATGCGGCAGGAGTTCTTAGTGAGATATAGAACTATTAATAAAATACACATCCTTTTTCCTTTCTTTTTTTCCCCTTTTATTCCCTTTCCTTTTTTTTTCTTCTTTTATGTCCACTATGTTACATCGGTAGACTATATAACTTACAACGATATTTATAAATCTGTTCAGTACTTTGTCATTGTCCAACTCTATGCCTTCCTGAACCATCCTTTATTGAATACTTATTCCAAACTTAAGTCCTAAATATTTACATTGTTATTTTTTATAAATCTGTTGTTTAAATTTGTTTAGCGTACTGTTATCCATCATTCTGTTGCCTCTAATTGTATGGCCTTTTACAGTGTTGTAGTACCTTCTATCTTACACCAATACAGTATATTACATAACCATTGCATAACTATTACATTACACAACCATAACCATTATTTTCCTTTGTCTTATGGTTTCGAACCATTTATTGTGCAATAGCGTATTTAATAGGTAATAAAATAAGAGAAACATTTAACTTTATCATTAGACTTGCATGAAACAATATTATTCGATCAAATAAATTAAACGTCACTTAATTTTTTTATCTCAAGCCAAGTGGTGACCTTTTGACTGGAATAAAAGATTAAAGTTGAATTTTCATACTATATTAGAAATTTAGTTGGGAATCCCCATCTATACTCGATGTTATTATTTCTCAAGACCTTTGTAGCATGAGTAAAGAATTTTCATGCCAATCTAGTGGCCCTCGAAAGATCTGGAAAACATTTTAAATGTTTGTATTTTGATGGTAAAGTGTTCATATCTCTGAAAGTCATTATGAACTTTTTTTTATTTTATATGAATAAAATCTGATAATTACGTCCCTTAAATTTGATTCAGGTACTCCCTTTGGCTTTTGCAGTCTACGAATACGTTCAAAAATAATTTCCTTCTTTTGACCATATGGGTCAATTATCTTGTACAATTTGGTGAAATATTCTTCTAATTCTTGCGGTTGACACTCCTCTGATACCCGTCTTATACAATGATTGATTCTTCTTTGTCTGTCTTCTAAGTCTTGGATGTTAGTTTCATATAATTTGATTTTCATATGCAGACTTTTCTCTTCTGCTGTATTCAATTTAGTTTGGAGGTTTGTGAGTTGTTTTTCATTATTTTCAATTTTTTGTTCCAGTCATATTACTTCTGCTGTGATTACTTTGGTGTTTCTATCAATGTCTTTTTATATTTGAGAAAATGTTGATCTAGGTACTTTTTTTTTTTTTTTTTTTTTAACAGTCCATTGTGGTTACTTGAGACTCTGAGTCGCTTGAGGAATCCAGTAGAGTTTTAGAATTCTCCATTTCGCTGCTTACTATAGATGTTTCTGTAAAATTTGTGATGAATCCAGCGGAAAATACTTTGTAGTTACAGGAGAAAAAAATTCAAGCCATTTTTTTTTTTACTTTTTCTCTCTTTCTTTCTGGTTGCTTTCTTCCTTCTTCTTCTTCCCAACATGCATTGCATCTTTTTTACACGGGAGTCATGTGACTCGCAATTTAAGCTTTTCTAAGCCCTCACACCTCATTTTTAAGTTAGTTTAACCGTTTAGACCCTCTGTAATGTCACTATTATTGTAAAACTTTTTATTTTCATTTATGTAAAATTTAATGTATGACTCCTTTCTATTGGCTACTAACTAGATGACGTTTTTGGTGCCAATTTATAACTTTCTATGCACCTATATATACTCTTATCAGCCAGGATTGTTAATCTTATTCCATTTTGAAAAAGCCTCAGTGGCGAAATGCGCAAATGGTTTTAATATTTGTGTATCTATATAATTAAAGATTTTATGGTCACTATTTGTGCCAACTATCTTTTTATACACATTTTTTATCTTTACCTGGCTTTTTACCAATTTTATTGCGTGCTTACAAGACTATCCGTGGTGGGGATCATACCACCAATGCTGTCATCAGAGTGCAGTTGGCCTGCACTACACTTGTTAGTAAATTTTTATTTCTCTTACAACTCCATACCCTGTTATAACAGAGTGCACTATCAGCTGTCTTTATATATCCCTTTCCTGAGAGCTGGACACCATTCACTCCAGAAGACAATCACCTATATATCCCATGAGCGGGGATCATACCGCTGTAAGCCTGTTATACCTGAGCTGGCTATGGCTCTTCTAAATGTGAGTTTAATAAATATATATATATATATATGTATATATATATATATATTCATATTCTCACATATATTGACCCACTCAGTCTATAGGATCGGTCTCTTATTTGTGTCTTCCATATCACGAGAATAATCAAACTTCTATGAACAGTGAGGACACCCCATCACCAAAAGCACCTTAAAAGACACTTGTCGCTAGAGTGCAACTTCAGATTATCTTGGACTGATTTATATGCACTTACTTTTTATATATATGCTCTATCTATATACTTGTTTTTATTTCCTATAGTCTACACTGATACATTTTGGCGTAGCCTTGCACTACTGTTGTTGTTGTTTTCTACTCTTCTGCTAGAGGGTTAGAGGGTTACCCTCTGCCAGGCCGCTGCCTACCTATTCCTTATTATTATTATTATTAGCGCTGACCTCTTAACTTTTCACTTCTTCTTCTGTGCCTTTTCAGTTTTGCGTTCATCTTTTTTAGTAGTCATTACTTAATTTTAGTTGGGAGAGACCAAAATAAAAAAATAAAATAAAAATAAAAATATATATTTTCCTTCTTTTGTGGTATCTGCTTGATTATTTCTTTTTTGTTGCCCTTCTCCCAATATTATTTTCTGATTTTGGGTTAAGATGGAACTGGCAGAGAGTAGGCATTCGGGTATATGAACCCCTTAGTGGGTTAACTTACAGAGCTTCAAATTATTATTTTTTTTTTATATTTTCAGGGTAAAATTCCACTTGATGAGATTAGAATTTTATGGGGGAAAAAGGGTCCCAATGAATTTCCAGATAACTATCTGGATGTCAGTATAATCTGACTGTTTAGTCACGTTGATCAAATTTGTAATATTTAGTTTTTACTGTTTGCAATGCTCTATGCCCCCTTAGAATACAGCTGTATATCTTCAACAGGTTATTAACAGATTATTACCGGTTATTATAGGATAGTTTGTTTAGTACTAGCAAATAAATAAACATAATGAAAAGTATATAAAAAAAAAAAAACAACTTTGTTTAACTTCATTTAACTCACAGTTTCCCTGTCAGTTGCAGCTTGACTCAGCTCAAAGCCACCAGCCGTCCGTCAGCTTGGATTTCCGCCTGTTTTTTCCAAGGTAAGTATCACAAAATGTAGCAATGCCCCTCCGAATATCGGTTTGGTGTTCCAACCTCCCGTCACAGCGAGGCTCAATCTGGGAGCCACAGAAACCCCTTTCGGTACTTCTTGGGATACTCTTTCTCTCTCTGTTCTGCCATTCTGATGAGAGGCTTCCCGCCTCAAGGGACAGGATGCCTCTGCTCCACACTACCCACACTGTTTGCTGAATACCTACTCTGCTCTGCTCACAGATGTTCCTTCTCTCCTCCTTTGTTTGGTACTCCGCAGGTCGAGGTCGTACACACTGCGTTCACGAGCTATCGCTCACCCATCACTCCACGTCCTACATCACTTCCATATTACCCTTTTTTTTTCTTTGATACAGCAGGAAAAGTATTCTGGTTGGGACTGAATCCAGTGTGAAAGGTTGTAGTAATATGGAATTGTATAAAACAAAAAATAGTTAATTTTTTGATATGTATGAAATATCGCCATGTTGTGTTTTTGGAAAATTAAAATGCATTTAAAATATACCAGTATATTTTAGCACTTAAGAATTTTGCTTACAATATTAGTTTATAGCTGCCCTCGGCTGTTCATATATTATATAAAATGAATCACCAGTCTTTTAAACATCCACAGTGAATAAAGGTTATTCACAAAATGATTCTTGTTTCAAAATTGTTTTATTGACTTATCAACAAAAAATTATAATATACTGAACAAAAAAAGAATCAATATCAATATCCAGCATGCCCACCCCACTAGACCACCTTGTACAAAGGCAACTAGCTCAAATAGCTAAGACACAACATATGGGGAACCTCTAATATAGAAAATTGGAGACATACTCCACATAATAATCATAATAAATATATCATAATAATAATAATAATTCACAGGGCTTTGTTTGTATTTCATTTTTGGTTACTCTCTTTTCTCTTTCTCTTTTCTTACACCATGGTCCTAAGACACCATAATGCTCAGTTTTGTTTACATGTTATGATCCCAATGCATAATGTACATTATTGTTGGCCCAAATAGATTTCCTGCTATAGATTGTACTCAAAATGCATGTAATAATGTGTACTGTTATTTCCTATAATGTTAACACTTTATGTTGTATGCACATCCATATTGTGTGAAAATTAAAACCACCTTAAATAAAGATTTAGAAAAAAAAGAATGAATGCATACACATAAAGATATAAAGAAATACCACAAATAATAATAATAACATTGTTTAAAAAGAGGGAGGTGAATTATTGTAGAAAATGTAAGAATTCAATTTAAAACTGGCATTTGATAAATTGTAGACTATTATCTTGTTTTGTCAAAACATTTGTACAAATGTAATATTAAGATCTTACTTATAATTTCTATATTAACACTCTATACACAATGCCATGCATTATTCAGTTTTATGAGGTTTAATGTGTCAGTCAACAATTACTAGTCAAACACAAAAAAAATAAATGATGGTGGTAAAAGTCTATTACTAGTTAATAAAAATGCATTCACATATATATTTTTAATTACAATAGTGATTGTAAACTGAAAGGTTGACTGAATATTTTAATCTGCTGCTCACAATGTAGTATTAGCATAATTAACATCGTTGGTCTACTCTTCCATTATCCTCTATTTGGTCCTCTCACTGAGCTAACTGACTATTAATTTTCAAAGCATGTTATCAGGGAAGAATACTGATAGCCTAATGCACACTTCACCAGCTCCCGTATGCCACGGAGAGAGCTTTGTGTTTATTTTCATTTGCCTTACTTTGAATATTATGTTTCATTCTAGATCTGGCACATTTGGGATGCCCACTGATACGATCTATCCTCTGGCTTCTACAATAATTGATCATAGCAGGAATACTGTTTAGAAAGCACACTGGGATGCCAGGTCACTGTGCAACATAAATACTGTCACAGAGTAATTGACAGCAAATCTAGATTTCTGTGCTCTGTGGGATATGGAAGTTAAGTCTTTGACTCGGTCATTCCTGTAACCTTGTGCTACAATTAATAATATTTTCTCACACATCTTTGAATCACAGTGATAGAGAGTAGGTAGCTTTTTATCTATCACATTTTCAGCTGTTACAACTCTTCCTTTGAGGTACTGACTGAGCTGCTTGGCCCTGTTGTACCGTAAGCTTGACACGTTTTCTGCATTAAGTTATTTTACAACAAGAATATACTTGCTATTTATCTAAAATAATAATAAAAAGGAAAATTATAGGTAACATTTGCTAAATGTCAAAAGATCAGTAAGTCTAATAATTATATAGTTAGAAATGAATCATTAACTGATTAGGTTAATCAGAAAAAAACAACAATTATTCTAATTCATTTATTACAACTAATAAATATATTTAATTTCTTTTTTTATGTTCTCCATATAATATGTAATCCCTTACAAGTTTATTTTGTATAGTTTCTATCCTTATTTAGAATCTAAGTTTTAAAGGGTAAGGATCTGGCATCCAACTTTATCCATGAACATTGCACTCTTTATTATGATATTTGTATCATTATCTTACTTATTAGACCTTTCCTTAACTGTAATTTAAGCCGTTAATGCTAAGTACAAATCTTACTGCTCCAAAAACAAAATATATGAAAAAGTCATTTATTTAAGGTTTATTCAGATTTTTAATGTTCCTTCAACACATTAATGTCCATTCCATTCTGCAATAGTGGACTTTACTGTCCACTAAAATGACATCTAATCTGAGCAGGGTCCCTATTCAGACCCAGCAGATACAGATCATTGCTACACTCTGAAAGCAGTGCCAAGCTGACTGATCGGATGTGACAACAGCTAAAAGTGAATGCACACTGTCTCATCACATTAAAGGACCACTATAGGCACCCAGACCACTTCAGCTAAATGAAGTGGTCTGGGTGCCAGGTCCAGATAGGATTAACCTTTTTTTTCTGTAATCATAGCAGTTTCAGAGAAACTGCTATGTTTACCTATGGGTTAATCCAGCCTCTAGTGGCTGTCTCATTGACAGCTGCTAGAGGCCTTCTGCGCTTCTCAGCGTGATTTTCACAGTGAGAAGACGCTTGCGTCCATAGGAAAGCATTGAGAATGCTTTCCTATGGACTGGCTGAATGCGTGCACGGCTCTTGCCGTGCATACGCATTCAGCCGAAGAGGAGGAGAGGAGGCGGAGAGGAGGCGGAGAGGAGGCGGAGAGGAGGAGGAGAGCTCCCCGCCCAGCACTGGAGAAAGAGGTATGTTTAACCCCTTCCTCCCCCCAGAGCCCGGCGGGAGGGGGACCCAGAGGGTGGGGGGACCCTGAGGGTGGGGGCACCCTGAGGGCACTATAGTGCCAGGAAAACGAGTATGTTTTCCTGGAACTATAGTGGTCCTTTAAAAGACATGGCCACTTCTGAATAGATATATATATATTTAGTTTTAATATAAGCTCCAATTAATAATATTACCAGTTCAGGGGGGTCTAGTTCACATAATTTACAGAAGATTTACTGCTGCTGTCTGCTTCTAAGTAACCTTATGCTCATTAGCTTCAAGCTTGTTGCCTAATAATCCCAAAGAAGCCTTCTTTCATTCTCATCTTGATCCTCCATTTCTTTAGATCATCATAAGCCTGCTCTATAATAGTTTAAACTTCCCCTAATCTGATCATCTCACTATCTAATTTTTCCTCAACCAACCGCATTCCCACTTTCCAAGTAATTATTTATAATGCTGACATGATACTTTTCTTTTACGTTTTTTCCAACCCGTTCATTAATAGCGTTAATAATGAAAAAAGGGTACATTTGCTATTTGTTTTAAGATAAACTTTATGCTGAGAGCAGACTTTATAGATTTCATGGTGAAACGCGCTGTCCATTGTGTTTAACGGTTAAGGTTATGATTTTCCAAATTGGTCGTGCACCTACTGCATTCCTTCTGTGGGAAAGTGTTCTCTTTAATTACTAATTAAAACTTGGTCATAAAAAACTATTATAGTTTATATATGTACTTTGATTTCACTTTATACACTGTGAATTTTGCAAGATGTATTGTACTTTTTAATAACAACTTTATGTTCATTGCACCTTTGTTAGCTTTGAATGTCTAAATGTATTTGTATCTTTATACCCTAACACCCCAACTAAGAAAATGTTTGGAATTAAATAAATAAAAATATATATCGCCAAACTTTCTCACTCAACCATAAGGTTGCAAGGCAGAGACTGGTCTTGAAGGAAGTTCCAAGTCGTACACTATTAAGTTTATCCAACGGGTGTGACAGAGAGGTGAGAAGACTATCCAGTTGAGTCAAACAGTAATAGCTATATGAGAAAACAGGAACAAAGAGGACAAATACAGGAATAGTAGTTGAGCAGATAGGAGACAGGACATGTAGGAATACCGAAAATCACATGGTTAGATACAGTTGAGCTTCGACGATGCAATGTGTGAACTGCAAGGTGTTGAATGGATAGCCAGGCTCATTAATCAAGCTCCGCAGGATTGGGAAAAGTCTGTTTAAATTGGGATTTAGTTAAAAGAGCAGTGACATATAAATAAAGTAATAAGGGTACCTGACAGAAAGTCAGAAAACTTTATCTACTGGTTACTGACTCTGGTTGTATTTATTTTATTTCACATAATTGTATAATGGTAATATTAGTATAATTTCTATGCATTTGTATTGATATGAATAAGTATTGATTTTTACACTTGCATTACAAACATTGCTACTATCCAAACTTACAATTTATTTTGGAGTTGTTTGCCAGTTACATTTTTTTTATTATTATTTAAAAAAGGAGATTTTTTTTTCTAAAGAATACTGCTACATTTCAAAGTAAAGCCAGAGCACAGCAAAACCTTTTAATACAGATTTTGAACAATATGCCTAAAGGAAATTTAAATCTAACATGGTTGTTCCCAAACCATGGTATTAACTACATATATAATAAGATAATATACATGAGTCATAACAACAATTTCATTGTGTCAATAATATGCTTGGGGCCAACTATACTTTTGTGACAAAAAAAGCAATAAAACCAAAATGAATTTAACAATAATAAACCTACTCTGCTGTTTTGGATGAATAAATCTGAGAATTTAATATATCAATCATAATGGGAGCAAAACAACATTAAATTAAATCGAACTGTTAATTTGCACTATGCATGTATTTGAGTTCAAAATACGATTCACATACATAAGGTCTTGCAAGTCATAACTCTTTGTCTGGTGCTAAAATGTGAACAGAAAAGGCTTGTAAGGCCATCTAGAGGTCATATTCCAAAATGCAGTTTTTACATATTTTTTTTTTTTTAGGATTAGGCAAGAAAAGCTATTTTTTACCTACTTCTGCAATTTCATTTGCAATCCTCTTTACAATAGTCTGTAAATATTATTTATGTCTGAAATCTTTTGTTAATTTACATGACAATTCACTGTTTCTTGAATTTGCACACATTTTCTTTAGTCTTTGAAACTGTCCTTTTGAGAATATTTGTGAGCCAAGAGCTAAATTGCCTACTGCAGAAATGGATATATCTAAATCATCTGTGCATAAATCAAATATATAGTGATCAAGCAGGGTGATAGATGGGGTGACAGATGGGGTGACATGGTTATTGTGAATTGGCAGGACTAATTGGAAAAACACCATAACCCATATTAATCCATTTTTAAATAAATTACCGAAATTACAGACATTTTACTAGTGAAGATTACAAATATCCAAATAATGTATATTTAAAAATTCCATATTTTGTGTAATATGTATTTTCCAAAAATATATAGATATAAATAAACCCCAAGAAGACCAATAGTTTATAAGATTGATTTGATTTCAGCAAATTTGATTCAATATTGTATACAATCAACAGGAAAATGAGAAAAGGCTTATATAAATGTCACAATGAAACAGCACCCTATATCTTATATCACAGTGCTTTTGGTGGTCACCAGTGGTGTACATACCAGGGTCGCAGGGGTCGCGGCGGCGACCGGGCCTGGCCCACCAGGGGGCCCGGCCGCCCCTGCGACCCGGTATATACCCACAGGGCCAGCCTCTTCTCCTAGGAGGCCCACAAGGCGGCCACCTTAGGGCCCCCCAGGCTGGCCCTGCTAACCCCGGCGGGCGGGGGCGCGCAAGGGACCACTTCATTGAGCTGATGTGATCTGTGTGTCTGTAGTGGTCCTTTAAGTGTGTGTGCATACCGCGTTCGTGGGGTCGCAGCCCTGCAACCCCTGCGACCAGGTGCCCGCTGCCATGTGTTGCGGCCCTGACCTGCGCCGAGTAAGCGCTGGGGCCCACGGATCAATTTTCGCACCGGGGTCCCATGGGTCATGTGTATGCCACTGGTGGTCACAATCCCTCTGAAGAAGAAGAAGTGAGGAAAACTTAATAAGACAATCAGATGCATAAAAGGACTCTGGATGTCATAGTTTATGATGTTGGTTGCTTGGAATATTAAGGTGGATCCTCAAGGTGTAAAGTGACTCTAATACCCCCGTGTGCCTAATCACAATGCCTGTCTGGTCAAACACCAGCCATAGCAAAAAGCTGCAACTTTTCCATATCTCTCAAAGATAAATTATTAATTGCATTTCAGAACTGTCCTGTAGAGTGGTGAATTAATGGCTTTTCCATTTAAAAAGCTTTATGGAAATATTAATGTGGTTTTTAGGTTTCAATAATAAAATCTATATATTTATATGTCTTTTAATTTGAGGGAAAATGCTAGTAGAATTGTGAGTGAAAAACGTACATGCAGGAACAAGCACACAGTCTATCAAAAGATAGCAGTCACCATGATCTGCTATAAAACAGTTTGACAGATTAAATATTTACCCATACATCAAAAGTAGCTTTGTGTGCTATGGTCATTTCATTTTCATCACATGAAGTGTACTACTGATGTCTACATCTGCTACTAGAGTGGAGCTAACAAACACTCATACAGATCTTTGTAAAAAGATGCTGATAATGGATTAACAGTGCGTACACTCCAGCAAACATCTTAATTAGTTGATTTTGTAAATCATGTTATAATAGGTAATGATATTAACACACAATTGTCATTGTGAACATTGTACACATTAAAGGGAATCTCCAGTGCCAGGAAAACAATTTGTTTTCCTGGCACTGCAGGTCCCCTCTCCCTCCCACCTCCCAATCCCTGATTGCTGAAGGGGTGAAAACCCCTTCAGTCACTTACCAGAGGCAGTGACATGTCCCACGTCGCTGCTTCTTCCTCCACCGCTCCTCCTCTGCATTACGTCGGCCGGCCGGGGAGACCTAAGGCGCATGCGCGGCAATGCTGCACATGCGCATTAGGGCTTCCCATAGGGAAGCATTGAAAATGCTTTTCAATGCTTTCCTATGGAGAATTGAGCTACGCTGGAGGTCCTCACACAGCGTGAGGACATCCAGCGACGCTCTAGCACAGGTTTTCTCTGCTATAGAGCAGGATGTGCCCTCTAGTGGCTGTCTAGTAGACAGCCCATAGAGGTGGAGTTAACCCTGCAAGGTAATTATTGCAGTTTATAAAAAAAACTGCAATAATTACACTTGCAGGGTTAAGAGTAGTGGGAGTTGGCACCCAGACCACTACAATAGGCAGAAGTAGTCTGGGTGCCTGGAGTGTCCCTTTAATGTCATCTATGAATTGTCCACAGTGGTAATTAGCTATGGTCTGATTGGAGAAAAGATACAAATGTGTTGCAGAACTTTAACTCCCAAGACAGAACATGACACCACACATAGATATACATAATTTAGAAATGTATGAAGGTGTAATTGATTTTATGCATTTTACAATGTCTATTGTGTGATATGCATTGAACTATTGTATTAAAGTATGTTGAAAGGATTCATTTTAACCGTAAGACACTTTTTAAACTTTAACTTGATTATCCACGTAACACCCAATAATTCACCAGATCCAAATGCAAAATCCATGTTTATCACACAAGATAAACCTATTCGCACGCAAATCAAGATGATACATAATTTATTTGTTTGCGATGGATTGCGAGCAATGACCATCTAACCAATCTTTCATCAAGTGATAACTATAAAGTATGTAACAAAAGATAATTTTAGTTTGTTTTGAGTCTTCCTATTTTTATTCAAAATTAAAAGACCCAGAAATAACCTGGGGGGTGTGGGGTGGGAGAGGGTGCACTAGAGACAAACCTGTGTGGAATACCAAAAATCTAGAGTACTGGTGGGGTGCTATTTACATACCTACTTCATAATTAAAATGTATTTCCCCAGTGGCCACTTTAAAATCATAATGCTGATTTGATAATATATGCAAGCTACACAAATGACTCCATGTTAATCAATGTAACGACAAATAAGTACTAATAAGTAACTAAACTACATTAAAAGTATATGAATTTTCCAGAAATACACACACTGCAATATTCTGATGGCACATAAATGGTTAAACATGTGTCATTCATTCACAGAAGCAGTTTATTATAAAAAGGACAATAGCAGGTTAGCTGCCAAAATGCACCCACCATGGATGGTTTTTCCATGAGAAGATGAACAGCAGTGCCTGCAGCAGCCTCAGTAGCAACTTCAGCACTACCAGCAAGGAACTGTGGTGCATGGGAGACCAGGTCAGGTTAGAGGCGGACAACGATATCCTTATTGTCTTCCTCAACAGCAAATACAGTGGGACTCTATGATCCTACGTCAGAGTGTTTTGCGTCAGACATTGAAGGATCCGGAGCTACATAAGAAGCATCACTTAGCACATGCAAGCATCCTTGCTTTGTGCAACCTACTCAAGGATGACTTGGAATTGTGGTCTCAGGCTAATAGAGCTAAGCTAGTACTCTGTTTGAGCTGATAATATTTTTGGAGTCTACTAGCTTCTAAAGGAACCTCTGACTGTGTTTGGGATGGTACAATCCACCTGTCCAAAGGTGCTTTTTATCTTCCTGGCTGCCATAAGGACCTACTGCCCGATGTTTATATCATTTTCTCCAATACATGCTGGGAAAAGCCCTGCCATGCTACTACTTGGAGGCCTAGGTGACTCTAGGGATGCAAATATAGATTATTCTGCTACTTTAGACATTGTGTCACCAATTGCAGCATTCGTGGGTTAAGAAAAAATTAATTTGCCTTCTGGGTGGTGAATCAGAAGTAACAGGTATGTTGAGCTTGAATGCTATTAATGGTGTTGGTGGCAGGGCTAGCAGATGTGTTGCTACTTATGGCAGTACTTATGGTGTCTGTGTCCAGGGCAGCAGAAGTGTCAGCAGACATATTTCCCTAACAAATAAATGACTTTGAGAGGCCATGGTACGCCTGCTGATGGTGGCTTGGGGAAAACAACACCCTCCCTTTCTCAATTTCTTCTTTGGATTACTACCTACTATTGATTTTATTTATTAAAATAAATTAGGATATGAATGTGTACTGTGTAAACTAACAACTTTTTAAAGCCAAAATAGATGCTTGTGTTGAAAAATGAGTTGCTGCTTGGGGGATTTAGTACTACTGTGATGCTAATGCGTTTGAAACACTACACTGCACACAGTGCTTGAACAGCACATACTGGATTTTCTTTCTAAAAAGAGTTAAAAATAAAGACCTACCACATTAAGTGCAGATTTCACTTGTGCAGTAAACTACCACAAACTGTATGGCAATCTGCAAAAACACAAGCATACTTGAAATCCAATAATCTGTCTCTCAAAAGAAACAAAACCCACAAATCAGTAAAACAATAACCTATGTCAGTAATTAAAAATTGGTCTAGGTTTGGCAGTTTGGCACCCTCAGAGGCTGACTAGACACAGCAGTAACCTAATCACCTCATTAGTTTGACTAGGATCAATAACACAGGCTTCCTTCCACTCCCACACAGACACAGCAAGGGTAAAACCAGGCAACTCCTGCCTGCTGGTCTGACTGAAAAGCTGAAGTGTCCAAATGTCTAGAACAGTGGTTCCCAACCCAGTCCTCAGGTACCCCCTACCAGTCCAGGATTTAATGATTACTCAGGTGTGACTAAGGTGTTTAAAAAAAAAAAAACACCTTGAACACAACAGGGTAATCACTAAATCCTTGACTGGTAGGTGGTACTTGAGGACTGGGTTGGGAACCACTGGTCTAAAGAACCCTATTTTGATTTGAATTCCTGACACAGCAGTATTTCTCTAAGAGTCAGAGGAGGCTCTAATCTAGACTTTATGAGGCCTTAGGCGAAACTCAAACATAAGGCCCCCACTAACAACCAAAGTGAAAAAATAATAGGGTTGGATTTCGTGTGTGTGAGTGTAAGGAGCAGTTGCTATTTAAAAGGCGGGCTTGCACCGTTAAATACAGAGAGTTAGTCTCTGCAGTCATTGTTCAGAAGCTTGCATTGTCGCAGCTTCCTGTGCCTCTTTATTGTGAGCTCTCTGGCTGTAGTTGTAGCATAATTTGCAAATAAAATTAATTTGCAATAAATACATTTAATTTGCAAGTATGCCAGGTGAGGGAGGTTTGTGATGGTGTGTGTGGCAGGGGGTTATATTGTGATGGAGGGAGATGGTGTGTAAGAGGGGGTGATGGTGTGTGGGAGGGGGTAATACTGTGAGGAAGGGAGATGGTGTGTAGGAGGGGGTGATGGTGTGAAGGAGAAGGGTGATACTTTGAGTGAGGGGGGTGATACTGTGAGGGAGGGGAGTAATACTGTGAGGGAAGGGGGTAATACTGTGGGTGGGAATACTGTGAGGGAAGGGGTAATACTTTGGGGATACTGGGAGGGAGGGGGCTATACTGGAAGGGATGATACTGGGAGGGGGTAATATTGTAAGGGGGGATACTGAGATGGAGGGAGTAATACTGTGAAGGGGATACTGGGAGGGAGGGGTGATGGTGAGAGGGAGAAAGGATGCTGTGAGGGAAGGAGGTAATACTGTGCGGGTGAGGTACTGGGAAGGAGGGGTAATACTGTGAGGGGGATACTGGGAGGGAGGGGGTGAAGTTGTTAGGGAGAGGGTATACTGGGAGGGAGTGAAATAGTGAGAGAGGGGGTAAAAGTGGGATGGAAGGGGTTGATGGTGTGAAAGAGGGGGTACTAGGAGGGGTTGAAGTTGTGAGGGAGGGGGGTGATAGTGTGAAAGAGGGGGAATACTGGAAGGGAGGGAGGGGGTGAAATTGTGAGGGAGAAGGTGAAAGTAGGAGGGAGGGGATTGAAGGTGTAAAAGAGGGGGGATAATGGGAGGGGGTGAAGTTGTGAGTGAGGGGGCATACAGGAGGAAGGGGTGAAATTGGAGGGGGTGAAAAGGAGGGATGGGGTGATGGTGTGTAAGAGGGGGATACTGGGAGGGGGTGAAGTTGTTAGGGGGGATACTGGGAGGGGGTATACTGGGAGGGGTGAGGTTTTGAGGGATGGGGTGATAGTGTGAAATAGGAGGATACTGGGAGGGAGGTGTGAGGTTTTTAGGGAGGGTGTGATAATGTGAAATAGAGGGATACTGAGAGGGAGGGGTGAAAGTGGGAGGGAGAGAGGTGATGGTGTAAAAAAGGAGGGATACTGGGAGGAGGTGAATTTGTGAGGGAAGGGGTATACTGGGAGGGAGGGGTGAAATTGTGAGGAAGGGGGTGACAGTGGGAGGGAGGGAGGGAGGGTGATGGTGTGGAGAGGGGTTACTGGGAGGGGGTAAAAGTTGTGATGGATGGGGTATACTGGGGGAAGGAGGATGAAGTTGTGAGGTAGTGGATGAAAAGACCTGGTGGTCCGGTGGCCATGGACGCCGGTCTGCAGCTCCATCACTCTGATTGATCAGATCTTGTGAGACACATGGTCTGCAGCTCTGCACACTGCGGAGCTGCAGACCGGCGGCACAGAGAAGCAGTCTTTCCTAAGGTGGTTAAGGCGGCTGCGAGGCCCCATCCAGCGCAAGGCGTTAGGCAGCCACCTAAACCGCCTAATTAAAGAGCCACCTCTGCTAAGAGTTATAAGATCAGTGTTCTCTTTGGCAACTGATTGACTAAAGCCTGAATTATGACACTGCATCTATGATTGTATTTTACTGTAACTGCTCATTAATGGCTAACATTTTTTTTTAACATTTACTTCACTTGTGTATTACAATGTAAATAGTGTATATAATATTACAATTTTTGTTTACTGTTGAAGTGTAAGCACCCCAGTTTAGAATGTTATTTTAAAAAAAAGTCCAGTTTCTTTCCATTAACCCCTTAAGGACACATGACGGAAATATTGCGTCATGATTCCCTTTTATTCCAGAAGTTGTGTCCATAAGGGGTTAATGTCTACAAAGGTTCAAGTCCTGGATATCTCTGGTAATATCCACCTACTAACTAGCCACTGTATCCCCCAGTGGATAATCTTTTTGGTGGATTATTTTTTGAGGGTGTTTTTTACCCTGGAGAAGTCCTTTATAGAACGTCCATAATAATTTGCAAAACCAGACCAATGGATAGTAACCAGTTTAATACAGCAGCTAACTGAAGCAGATCCTTTTTGATCAATTCTTCTAACATTACATAACCCAAAAACAGAATTTGGGCCTGATCAAACATACATTTCTCCAACTTGCAAAAGAGATAATTTTGCAATAAAGTTTTCAAGATTTGTCTTACATGCATGTGATGCGTTTGAAAGGCTGGCGAATTAACCCAGATATCATCAAGGTATACGATAATGAATAATTGTAAATGTTCTCTGAGGACATCATTAATAAGGTCTTGAAAGGCATTCGGTGTGCAAAGGCCAAATGGCATGACAGTATATCTGTAGTGTCTGCTATGTGTAATAAAGGCTGTCTTCCAGTTGTGCCCTTGTTTTAAGCACCCTAAATTGCACGCTCCCCTCCGGTTTAATTTAGTGAACAGTGTAGACCCTTTCAACATATCAATAGTTTAGTTATCAATGGTATGTAGTGCACATTTTTTATTTTGATGCTATTAAGTAGCCTTGATACAAGTAAGAAGCCAGGAGAGAAAGAGCATCTGATGGAGCATTTATTAAAGGACCACTATAGTGCCAGGAAAACATACTCGTTTTCCTGGCACTATAGTGCCCTGAGGGTGCCCCCACCCTCAGGGATCCCCTCCCGCCAGGGCTCTGGGAGAGGAAAGGGGTAAAACTTACCTTTATTCCAGCGCCGGGCAGGGAGCTCTCGCCTCCGATCCTCCCATTCGGCTGAATGCGCATGCGCGGCAAGAGCTGCGAGGGCATTCAGCCGGTCTCATAGGAAAGTATTCATAATGCTTTCCTATGGACGCTTGCGTGTTCTCACTGTGATTTTCACAGTGAGAATCACGCAAGCGCCTCTAGCGGCTGTCAATGAGACAGCCACTAGAGGATTTGGAGGATGGATTAACCCATTTATAAACATAGCAATTTCTCTGAAACTGCTATGTTTATTAAAAAAAGGGTTAATCTTAGAGGGACCTAGCACCCAGACCACTTCATTAAGCTGAAGTGGTCTGGGTGCCTAGAGTGGTCCTTTAAGGCTTCTCCAATATATTCTTCCATTATCTGGTTTTCAGAAGCGATAAGGGATAAAATCTCCAATTAGAGAGCATAATGCCAGGCAAAAGATCGATATTACAGTCATAAGGTATATATTGTGCAGGTGTAAAGTGCACAAATGTGCATAGCATTTTCCACGAACTTTCCCACGCTGTGTAAAATGACAAGAGTACTCTGATTGGTTGGATTTCAAGCCAACCAATCAGAGTGCTGTGACAGGTAAATGTAGAGACTTACTTGTCAGTCTCTTCATTTACCTTTCAGAGTAATCTGGTTGGTTGGCTTAAACCAACCAATCAGAGCGCTCTGAGCCTAGTTGCAGGGTGTGGGAAGGCTTTATAAGCCTTTTCCCACCCTGCAGAGCCCTGCCCTCCAGGGGTGAAGATGGATTATTTTTTTACTGTCTGGATTTTTATTTTTTTATTATTAGTTAGACGAGTATTATGGATTTTTATTTGGCCTTTTATGGGGCTGAAAAAAGAAGGTTTTTAGAAAAAAAAGACATCAAATAGAAAGTTTGTTTTGTTTACAAGTATTTAGTTTTATTGTTCCCCCCTAACCATTTTTAGGGTGAGAGGGGTACGTAGGATTTTTTTGTGTGTGTGTGTGGGGCTAGGGGCTTGGGGACTCCTAGTCACCTGAGTGGGTTACATTTAGCCCCCATCCGCCGCCCAAGGTTGGGGGCCTGGGGGAGGACAATAGGTCCTCCCTATTGTCATTTAAAGCCCCCACCTGTTGCCAGTGGTGTATCCTGGTTTTGTGCTGCCCTAGGCAGGACAAAACTCAGGCACCCCCCCCGCGCCACCCCCACCCGCGCAACCGCCACCCAACCTTCCCCCCTGCTCCGCCTTCTAAATACACACACACACATTCACTGACAGATACGCATTCACTAGCTAACAGAAACACACAGTCACTAACAGACACACACTCACACACTCACAGGCAAACACACACACACACACTAACAGGCAAACACACACACTAACAGACATCCACACTAACAGACATCCACACTAACAGACACACACACACTAACACTAACATACATACACTAACATTAACATACACACTAACACTAACAGACACACACTCACACACTCACTAACAGACACACACACTAACAGACATCCACACTAACAGACACACACACACACTAACACTAACATACATACACTAACATTAACATACACACTAACACTAACAGACACACACACTAACACTAACATACACACACACTAACACTAACATACACACACACACTAACATACACACACTCACTAACATACACACACTATCATACACACACTGACAGACATCCACACACACACACTAACATACACACACTAACACTAACATACACACTAACACTAACAGACACACACACTAACACACACACACTAACAGACACACACTAACATACACACTAACAGACATCCACACACACACTAGCAGACATACACACACTCACTAGTGTTTTTTTTTATTTAACCCCCCCCCAGCCTCCTTACCTTTGGTAATGCTGGGGGGGGTTCTTCCTCTCCCTGGGGTCCAGTGGCTGCAGGGCGGGCGAGCGGCCGGCGAGGGAGCTCTTCCCCTGAGCGCTCTGCTCAGCTCCCTCGCGCGCCGCCAGCAGAGTGAGGCTGGGAGCCGGAATATGACGCCATCAACCCGGCTCCCGGCCTCACTCTGCTGGCGGCGCGCGAGGGAGCTGAGCGGAGCGCTCAGGGGAAGAGCTCCCTCGCCGGCCGCCCGCCCAGCGCTGCAGCCACTGCCGCCCAGCGCCCAGAATGTCTGTTAGCCGCGAGGCTAACAAGACATTTGCCTTGGGCATTTGGGGGGCGGCGTTTTTTGCCGCCCCCTGAAAAATGCCGCCCAAGGCAAATGCCTTGTTTGCCTCGCGGCTAATACGTCCCTGCCTGTTGCCCATGGGTTGGGACTGGGGTGGAGGTCCACCCTCCATTTTCATTTAGGCCCCCCACCCACCGATCATGGGTGGGGGCAGTGGGGGAGGATAATAGGTCCCCCTTTATTGTAATTTAGGTCCCCCCGCCGCTTTTATTTTTACATATAACAAGGAGGGAGCTGCATGCAGATGGCTCCCTCCTTGTAATAAACCAAACAAACAAACGAAGAGTTCTTCATTCATTCATTTTAAATTTCTATTCATTTATTCGTCTTTCTGACAAATGAATGAATAGATGAAATTCCCATTCGCATGCCCAAGTGTTTAACTGGGCATGCACGGGAATTTCACAGCGCTATCTAGTGTGGACAGATGACGTGTCCCATAGGGACTTCAACTACCCACACAAAGATGGCGGCTCCCAGGACCTAGGTCCAGGCAGAAAATAAAGATGAACAAATAGGTAATATGATGGGCTTAAGGACATTTTGGGGTAACTAGGGGGACAATACAATGTAGTAGAGTCGGGAGGAGTTTAAAAAAACGGGATTCGGCCATGACAGTGCCGCTTTAATTTGGGCATTTTGAGATGGATAGTCCTAAATAAGTAAGTATAGGTTTAATTTAATTTGGAAAAGATTGATTTTTTTTTTTTTTTTTTTATGACACTGTTTCAATCTCTGAGCTGTCTGAAAATTACATAGTTGTGGAATGTGTGACAATATTTCAGGTGATTTATTGGATATTTTTCTGGTGAGGATTGGATATTTTTGAAATTATATATTGTCTCTTTGGGTTTTTCAAAAATCTAGAGCAGTAGACCAAAAAGTGAAGACATGGGTAAACGAGTACTGCAACTGATCATGGGGAAGGAACAAACCATGAACTGTTCAGATTGGTAATGGAGCAGACAAATTGGATATTATTAGAATAAATTGTATTCTTACTTTGGGGTGAAATTGCATGTAGCATGAATGACCGCTAGTTCCTACTGAAAATGGATGTGGAGCATTGGTGCCATTTTTAGTATAGTGTGGGAACTAGAATGTGTTGTTATTGATTAATGTACCTGTTTGATAAGGTGAGTGTCCATAACATGGTGTATGAGTCCCCTGTGATGTGGCTGTTGTCACTTTGTTTATGTAAATATATTTTGAGTTATGTGTTTATTCACCAATACAAGTGTTAAATTCTGTTGGTACGATACTATCAGTGTTAGTATGCATGCATGGGGTTAATTTTATCGCAAGATAGAAGGCTTCATATTTTGCTTATTCTTCTTTACTGAAACCTCCTAGCAGCAAAGAAAGAGTTAACAATGTGGATAAAAAATCAACCAATCAGAATGTATATCAGTAATATATAGTGCAATCAGACTCCTCCCACTTCCTCTTTCTCTGCTGTTTGCCTCCCAGGTGAGTCTATTCTGATTATACTGCCTTCAGGTTTTTATTTAAAATACCTTTTAACTTGTTATAGTTTCCTTTTATTATATATTTTTTATTTGTTACACATCTTTGATTTCTATTCCTTGCATTACTTGTCTAAAGGGGTTTGCTTTGTTATCTTTTAACTTTCAACTGTGTGGCACATTGTGTTCATCTTACAACCCCTCTTCATGCCCCTTCGGGCCACCTTTCTTGTCTTTTATGTCTGACCTCACAATCCAGTCTCCTGTCCTACCATTGCCTATTGAATTAGATAGCTACTCACGCTTGCCGGTGTTCTATCAGTCTGGTATACTCCGTCAGATTGCTATACCCACGTCACTTCCGGGGAGGAGAATCAGCTGTCTCCTGTGCTGCACATGCGTGCTAGCACTCCTGCTACTCCTCCACAGCAAGGTCCTGGAAGGTAAGTAAAACTAGTTTTACACTTTCATTATAGTTAGTGCATTCACTAAGCTTAGGCACACAGGACATTTAGGGTTAAGTGAGGGTACAAATTAGGGTTAGGTAAGTGATTCTAACCTCTCTCACACTCTATTCTTACCCTAACCCTTGGGGTAAGGGTTAAAATAAAGTGTGAGAAATCACTAGTGATATTCCCCTAATGTGAAATATCACTAAATAGGAACAAGTCCCTAATCCTAACCCTAATTTGAACCCTAACATTAACCCTAAATGTCCCATGTCCTAAGCTTAGTGAATGCACTAACTATAATGAAAGTGTAAAACTAGTTTTACTTACCTTCCAGGACCTTGCTGTGGAGGAGTAGCAGGAGTGCTAGCACGCATGTGCAGCACAGGAGACAGCTGATTCCCCTCCCCGGAAGTGACGTGGGTATAGCAATCTGACGGGGTATACCAAACTGATAGAACACCGGCATTGACTCCTCTTTTGGTGCTCTTTCAGTCAGAGGTGCGGCTGCTTTCTCTCACTTTCGGGCAGGCAGTTCTCTCATGGAGATTTTACCTTCTGCAGATTGGTCCAGAGAATCTACTTTTCAAACCTATATCAAACATACTTATATTGCCGCTAAACAGCAAAGTATTAAGACTCCGTCCGGTCTTGCCATAATATTAGGGATTATTCTAGCTCAGTGACTGAATAATCTAAATTTTATTAAACACAGGATGCAAATATTTTCCCACCCTATTTTTGTCCCTCACTATGGTTCCTTATTCCGATTTTATGTTTTGCATTTTTACTAATACATAGTCTTAATGCTAATGGCTTGTCCAGTTTTTTTAACTCCTGTTGATTCGACACAAGTTTATTTAAACCGCTTACACTAGAGCTGGCTTAGTCAGAGTATGTTAAACTCCATATCAGATGATATTAAGTTGTGTTTCTCTTGTCCAACAGACCATACTTTCACAATGTTTCTCTTTATTTCTAGAGTGAAGACTTTTCTATCTCTACGTGGGGATTCTCTACATGTTTCTTGACTACTGGTTTACATGATTGACTATGTGACTTCAATCGCCTTTATTTCTTCCGTTCTACTAGCCTTTTGGGTGTTTTCGTTCATGGTTGACTGCTGCTGATCGGCTAACTCAAAGAAAGAGGAAATGGGAGGCGTGCACTACATGTTACTGATATACATTCTGATTGGTTGATTTATCCACATTGTTAACTGTTTCTTTGATGCTAGGAAATTTCAGTAAAGAAGGATAAGCACAATATTGGCCTCCTGTCTTCAGATTCGATCATCGAGCTAGAATAATTCCTAATTGGTGTGTTTTTATTTTAATGGATGTGAAAATATACTATAGTACAGTTAGATGATGTAGAGATTTTTTGGTAAATGTTCAGTTTTGATTTTGAGCTTCATTTCCATATGAGGGGATTTTGATGGAAGCAAACTAGAAGTGGATGACGACAGGTTGAATATTTGCATTTCTTGGAAGAATAGGCAAAAGGAAATATTGTACTGTATTCCATTTGATAAAGTCTGTAGACGAAACGCGTTATGGAAAACTAATATTGTGTATTAAAAATTAAAGTTATTTTTGGTCATTTACTAGTACCAATTATCTTTTTTTATACACATATATTTAAGTTATCCTGGCTTTTTATTTTGCTTTTTATTACTTTATATATCTTATCTTGATTTTAAACACCACTTCTGCAAGCTCCCAGCAGCCCAAGAAATCCCAGGTGGGGATTATTCCACCAGCACTGGCATCAAAGAGCAGTTGGTCTGCTCTATACTTGTAAGTACGTTTTCAATTAAGTCCTATGAAGCAAGTTATACAGAGAGCACTATTTGGTTGTTTCTGTTCTTTTTGAGTTTTGGATATCCCTGACGAAGAGGTACTCACCATATATCCCATAAGCGAGGATTATACCGCTGTGTGTGCTTTACCCTAGAGCTGGACTGAAGCTCTTAGAAATTGTGAGTTCTCTACCATTACTTGAATTTTATTTCATCTGAGCTATACATATTGCACTATCGGCTGTTCTCTCTTTTTATTTTCTATATTATACCTGAAGACTCTATTCCCGTATTCAAGGACGACAGAGAGGACATTTAGGTTGGATCTTTCTTTTAATATCTGTTACCACTATTGGAACTAGACATTGTTTGTTTATTGTGGCGCAGCCCTCTTTTATATTTTGTTTTTATCTTGCTCTATAGGGTCTTGAGGGGATTCCCTATTTTGGGTTGCTGCCTACAGGTTGTTTGGCGCTGTCTCTTTTTCTTTTTTATTGTAGTAATGTTTGTACTAGCCTATTCTATGCCATATTGAGGGGATTTTGATGGAAGCAAACTAGCAGTGGAGCAGCTTGAAACAGATAACGACAGGTTGAATATTTGAATTTCTTGGAAGGCTCCCTGACCTGAGGTGATGAATCTGCTACAAGAGAGCAATAATCAGTTTAGTAAACCTGGGGGTGCCTGAGTATGCTTAGCCCAGAGCAAATGAAGGGAACAGAGCAAAAGAACTTCAATCAACATTGCTATCAGTATTTCCAGTAACAATATGCTTCTGATTTGACTTCAGCCAGAAATATTTGCCAAAGTTGGACTTGAACATTTTTTACCATTTACCTGAGGTCTTGCTTCTGAAAAATATTATTTGGCAGTCTCTATAATGTAAATGAGACATTACTCATATGTATGATCTACTCTTCATAAGAAAAAATGGGGAGGTTGCCTAAACAGGCCTACTGGTGAAAAACTCCCAGAGATAGGTTATAGCTCTGGTATATGTTAGTTCCCCATTTTGTGTGTATATTATATTTGTGTACAAAAGGGTATTACACAATTCTTCTTAAAGGTATACACGTCATTGGATGTTTAAGGATACATAAACAAATGGTATTGATGTAGAATTATTAAAATCTGTATTAGAACCTGTATTGAATTATTGTACTAACTCCATTTTGTTCACCTTACATGACAGAATTTCCTGACAGTATTCAGTATAATGAATAAGAGATTGTATTTTCTCTCTCTAAGGACATAACTAGCCCCGGAGTTAGCGGATCTCCGTTGACTTGCAACATAGTATAATCCAAGGCCAGGAGAACAGCGACAAAATGAAATGTTCTATTCATAAAAGAACCTTGGAACAGACCACGAGACTGACATCACTAACTACGTAAAATGACGCCCAAGCCCCCCTTTCCACCGAGTAAGCCTCGTGCTAAAGAGCAATGGCGACGACATCCCATGATGGGAGGGTGCCTCACTAGTCACTCAAATCTCTGAGCCAATTAATAATATTAATGGGTGGACACTGACATAGCCACTTAACATTTAACCCAATTAATGATGTTTATTTGTTATTATCTGATATTCAATGATGATGTCATTTTGCATATAAAAAGGCCTGCGTGCCCGCTTTTTAACTAGATGCTAATAAATTTCCTGAAGTGTTTTTAACCTGAACTGCATGTGTCAGTGTGAACTTACTTCTGCGTATACGCAATTTATTCATCTCAGATTTGGACAGGAACAGATAGACTTTTAAACATTTTTGTTTATTTCTAAATTAATCTACATCAATCTGGCGTCCATCCAACGTGGGGCATCGGGCTATGGCCTCCGCCGGTAAGCCGTCCTAAGGAAGACGCTGTTGGACGGAGGAATCAGGGGGGAAGGAAGAGAGACTGATCACCTCTGAGTACACGGTAGAGACTTCTGCAGGAGCCACCGGTATGTTCCAGCCCCTTTGATTGACCCGTCCACGTGTCTGTGACTGCTTCCCGGGAGGGCATCAAAGACAGGTAATATCTTGCCCGGTGTCTTGTTACCCATTTGTTTACCTGCATTTAGTCTATCTGTTGCCTGGGTGTGCTAGTGGTATATGTTTTGTTCTTTCCCTCTTTAGAGATAAAGGGGGGTGGACCCGTGGGTGGTTGCCTGGGGGTCTTCTGTTGCCTGTTTTTACCCCTTTTTAGGAGTCACTTGGCCCAGACTGTTGGGAAAAAAGGGGGGGTGGACCTGTGGGGATTTTCCAAAGGGGTCCTGTTTTCCTGTTTACTTCTTTTAGGTACTGTCTAGCTAACAGTAGTAAGGAAAAAGAAGGGTTGGGGGATTCTGTGGAGGGGACTTGCCTCCTGGGGTTTCCCGGTTACGTCACTTTGATATTCTAGCTAGCCTCATTGTGTACGTTGCTCTGCTTGCAGAGGTTATGGTACCCTCCAGCTTCGAGCGCTGAGGCTGGTGGCATTCCAATTTATTTGTGGTGTGTGGATTCGGGCAGGCATTGTTGTCTCCATCACCACGGGGTAGTGTGACTTGTGGGTGGGTCCATAGGGAGCACTACGGGAGTGAGGATAGAGGTGGCCACACTTAGTGGACTGCTGTAACGAGGGAGGCATATGGATTTCGGGCCGGTGTTAGTCGTTATCCTTGGCCGCTGGTAGTGAAACTTACGAAAGTTGTTCTCCGAGCGGGGACACTACGAGATTGAGGGAGGTGGTCTTGGTGGCCACAAGAGTAAAGGAAAGGGATTACTGTTGATGCATGCACTGTATTTCAATTGAAATGTTGTATTAAATGTTGTCTTAAGTGTGGAGTCATTCAAACTCCTGGGTCTGTCTCTACTTTCACTGTTTACTTTTCCTCTACTTCCTGTACTATTTACACTATCCACTCCTATTTCTCTTGAAAGAGAAGTGATTGGTCACACACTTCTCACCCCGCTCCAATCCGTGGTTACCATCGAGGGTACACGGATTCAGTGACTGGTCTACGTTTTGGGAAGACGCACTGGGAGGGACCCACCCTTCCTAGTGGCAGTCGAGCATTGTAGACGTTCTGTTTCATTTTCCTTTACCTATACTTTGTATATGTTTTTATACGCTTTGTATAGGGGGATATGGGACAGGAAACGAGTAAGCCCGCTAGGGGCTGGCTCGCGTGTGATTTAGTTGAAGATAGAGAAGGTGAAGAACTG